GGGATCCATCAGGAGCCATAGGGATCCATTGGGAGCCCCAGGAGCCACCAGGATCCATTGGGATCCATCAGGAGCCCTGGGAGCCATAGGGAGCCACGGGGATCCATCCGGGCTACCGGGACCCATTGGGATCCATAAGGATCCATTGGGAGCCACCGGGATTCATAGGGATCCACTGGGAGCCCTGGGGCCTCCGGGCACCTCCCCGATCCCGCTCCGGAGCCGCTTGGCTCCGCCGCATCCTCCCAGCCCTTGTGGGTCCCCACAGTCCCTGGGGATCCCTCCGGATCCTCCCAGTCCTTTGGGATCCCCCCCTCAGTTCCTGCAGATCCCTGTGGATCCCCCCAGCCCTTGTGGGTCCCCACAGTCCCTGGGGGTCCCTCCGGATCCTCCCAGTCCTTTGGGATCCCCCCCTCAGTTCCTGCAGATCCCTGGGGATCCCCCCAGCCCTTGTGGGTCCCCACAGTCCCTGGGGGTCCCTCCGGATCCTCCCAGTCCTTTGGGATCCCCCCCTCAGATCCTGCAGATCCCTGTGGATCCCCTCAGCCCTTGTGGATCCCCCCAGTCCCTGTGGACCCTCCAGCCCTTTGGGATCCCTCCGGATTCCTGCCCGTGGCTCCTGTCCTGGTCCCTCCGGATCCCCCGGCTCCTCACGGATCCCTGTGGATCCCCCCTCCCCAGGTCAAGGTGATCCTGGGCGAGGACCGCGAGGCCACCGGGATCCTGCTGAGCATCGACGGCGAGGACGGCATCGTGCGCATGGACCTGGAGGAGCAGCTCAAGATCCTCAACCTGCGCTTCCTGGGAAAGCTGCTGGAGGCCTGAGCGGCCGGGAACACCCGGAGCCCCCCGGACCTCCCCCGGGAACCCTCCGGACCCCAGGATCCCCGGGAACCCCATGCACCCCCCGGAAACCTCCGGACTCCCATGATTTCTCCAGGACTCCCAGGATCCCTGTGGGAACCCTCCAGATCCCCTGGGAGTTTTCCGGACTCCCAGGATTCCCGGGAACACTCGGATCCCCTGGGGAACCCTCCGGACCCCCAGGATCACCTGGGAACCCCCCACATCCCCCCCAGGCCTCCAGGATCCCACTGGGACTCCCAGGATCCTTGGGATCCCTGCGGGAGCCCTCCCAATCCCCTGGGAGCCCTTCAGGCCCCCAGGATTCCCGGGAACACCTGGATTCCCCCAGGAACCCTCCGGACCTCCAGGATCCCACTGGGAACCCTCTGGACCCCCAGGATCCCCCCGGGATCCCCAGGATCCTTGTGGGAACCCTCCAGATCCCCTGGGAGTCCTACAGACCCCCCAGGATTCCCGGGAACACCCGGATCCCCCCGGGAATCCGCTGGACCGCCAGGATCCCCGGGAGCC